GTCAAGGACAAGAAAAGAGTATATTTATTCTTTTTTTCTTTTCTTGTACTACTCTATAATGTGCGATAACACCAACCAACCTAGAGTGGTTTTACTCACCTTGCCGAAGTGAAGTAGAATCAAACTAGTGATACCTTGTGTTAGGTGTGGTTACAGTAGCAAAAAAAGCGCACTTACAAGAACAGCCAGTCCCACACATCAGTGATGCAGCTTGACGAAAACGTACAACCAAAAATGGCAGTGAATGAAAGCTTTTCAGCCTGCTGTTGAGTAACATTTCAGTGTCAATATACCAAAGATAATGATATCATTGCATTGCTATGTATTTGTACAAGTCTCAGCCAGCTCCTCTCCCCATTAGCCATTGTACACCTTCCCTTAGCTGACTGTCATCTCCCTGCAGTGTCAGACAGCTTTTCTCTCAGCTCCCATGCAGCCAACACTCACCCAGTGTCTGTGAACAGATCAGACAAAAGCAAGGTGTCCTATACGCCTAGCCATTGCCAGCCCACTACTGAAGTCTTTAAGAGTTCTCACTATAACAAAAATGCCCTCCTCCATACAGCCATACAAAGTAAGGTCTGGCATTTTAACTCCTTAAAGATCTCCTATCATGCTAATTTAAGGCATATATGATGGGTATCAGATATATAACAATATATAAAAAACATATCTATGATGGTTCATGCATTTTAGTACGACGGAGTATTAGGGCCACACTTAGATGAAAAAAAAACAGAGATTTCGAGAATAAACTCGTAATAGTACGAGAATAAAGTCATAGTTACGCAAATAAAGTCGTAACATTACGAGAATAAAGTAATAATTACGAGATTAAAGTCGTAGTTTCATAAGTGACTTGAGAAGCGAGCTTGGAGGCCATTGTCTCCTTTCTGCAGGAGGAAAACTGCTTCTGGCNAATAGGAAGATTGGATCTTATCTTGAAAGAAAGTGCTTTTTGCCTGAGAGATGGAAGCAGAGAAAGAGGAGAGGAGAGCCTGATAGGTTAGGAGGTCGTCATGGTGTTTGGATTTCCACCATTTCTGCTCTGCTGCCCGAAGGATTGTTCTATTAGCACGCAGTGCGTCATTTAGCCAGGGAGCAGGAGGGGACTGACGAGCCTGCCGAGATGTGAGGAGACAGAGAGAGTCCAGAGAGGATGAGAGAGTAGAGAGGAGGGTTTCTGCAGCAGAGTTTGGAGGCAGGAGTTGGAACGAGTCAGAGGAAGGGAGGGCTGAGAGCACCGATGAGGCAATGGTAGAGGGGGAGAGGGAACGGAGGTTACGGCAGAGATATCAAGACCCAAAATGTGCTCTACCAAATGGTGGCGCTGGCTATTAAAGAGTATCAAAAGTAAAAGTAGTCATTGTGCAGATTGGTCCATTTCAGAATAATATGTATGATATGTTTTATAATGATTGATCATTAAAGTGTTATTACATTACATTACATGTAATTTGTTAGACGCTTTAATCCAAAGCGATTTACATACATTCAGTATTGTGGACAATCCCCACAGGAGCAATTTGGGGTGAAGTGTTTTGCCCAGGGACACAATGACATGCTGACTGCAGTGGGACTCAAACTTGCTATACCCTGATTCGAAGCCCATCATACTATCCACTGAGCCACAAACTCAGTTATCAAAGCTGGTAAAGGTGCAGCTAGTTTGAATGACTTTGTATACTGCAGGGTAGCTTGTGAATTTACTCCAGGTGGAACTAAAGTCTGCTAAAGTAACTAAAGGTTTTAAATAAAGGTTGTGGAGTAAAAGTACACCATTTACCTCTGAGTTGTAGAGGAGTAGAAGTAGCAAAACATTTAGATACCCAAGTAAAGTACAAGTCCCACCAAAAATGGTACTTAAGCACAGTAGTAGAGTACATGTACTTAGTTACTTTACACCACTGACTAATGGTCTCTATGAAGCTCTTGCACCAGCAGTATTCTTTATGGCAGACGTTGCCTCTCTGCCTCCTGAGCAGTCCTACATGAGAAAATGTCCTCTGCACTTATCTTGGCTCATTAGCATTTGTCACTAATGACTCACCGAGCCTCTCAGAAGACACATTCTGTTTGCTGGCAAGTGGAGTGGAATTTGCTGACGTACATGCCAATGTTTTCCACAGCTCTCATTACACTTAAAATCATTAAATCATTAAATGAAAAGGTGATGCATTATACTCCATGTGAATTATGGGCTATCTTTATCTAAAATGTCTATTTTACACCAATGAGCACAACTTGGAGATATTCCGCAATTATGGTCATTAACTGAACTCAATACCTTGTCATGTAAGGACATCTTTCAGCTGCAGAATTTTCCAGGGTCTCAGACATCATTCTGCTGCACAATACCTGCAGGCTCTGTTTGTGTGTTTATTTATCCTCTGTGCAAAGTGTCTTGTTTTCCTGGAACCAAACACTGTTTCCTTTTATTTTAGGGTATAATGACTACACCATATTTAGTTTGCACTGTACACAGATGGCCATTAGTAAATTGACAGGCCCTTAAAGACATTCTTTTCACAGTTTGCTGTCAAAGACCTTGACCGGTCTGTGCAGATTCCTAATCCTCAATCCCACCCCACACATACGGGGTGAACAGCTACAGCTGACCTGATCCCTGACATCAGTGAGGGTCCTCAATTATTCCACACCAATGCTCCTGTGTCTGAATGGAAGATAATCCTTGTAGCCAGGTTGTAATATCTGATGGAAAGCCTGGTACCAGTAGGGATATTGTGGAAGATACACTGATATTATTTATTGTAGGTAAAAGTAGCAATGCTAAGCGTAAAAATACTCACAAGTAACAGTCCTGCATTCAAAATTTTAGTTAAGTAAAAGTACAAAAATATAAGCATCGAAATATACCTTTAGTACCAAAAGTTAAAGTTCTCATCATGCAGAATGGCACAAATAGGCACCATATAGTTTATATTATCGTGATATAATAATTATTCATGTGTGAATGTGTTCATAACTTCAATGTGCACTTGGTAAGAGTGGGGTGCATTTGAATTATCTTATATATATATCTGGCTAGCTTAACCTATAATGAAATATAATAGTGTGTAAGTAAATTCATATGTTGTGTTATAATCTAAACCTGCAAAGTAACTGGTAACTAAATCTGTCAAAAAAATGAGTAAAAAGTAAAACATTTGCCGACAAAATGTGGTGGAGTAAAAATATAAAGTAGCATGATGTGAAAATACTCAAGTAAATTACAAGTACCTCCATTTTCCCCTTAAGCCCATATCCTGTCTTTTTTGGTGTTCACTTCCTGTTTGCTGTTTTATCTGTTGTCCAGCTTTTGATGTAGATTTACTTATTTTCCTGCGCAGCTTTTTTTTTATGTTCTCAGATTTTTCCTCGCTGGGTTCCAGCGAGGATGAACATAAAAATAATGTACCATTGTGTTTTTGATTGAGTAACATAACATTTTTTTGGCAAAAGCTGACTGAATCAATTCACCAACCGTCTTTCTTCAGATGAATAGATGCAGATATGTCCAAACACCACTCATTGTGACTGAAAGGAACATTCTAATTTCCTTATTCGAAGTCAATGCTTTATTTGTATTATTTCTTGGTGGATGTAGCAGAATGTACTTAAATATGTCATCATGCTGTGAATACAAAATGTTTGGTTATGGATACGTAGAGGGAAACCCAGTTAAATCCACATCGACTCCTGTTCTGCTGACTTGGTAAGAAGTATTTTAAAACTCAGTATTGATATGTTAATATATTTGAGCATATTATCACTTGCAAAAACGGTACCATTCACATAGGAAGTCACAGTACCATAGCAGGAACAGAAAGACTGAAAGTCGGTGTGCGTTTACCGACATCTGGTGGTCATTTGGACACAGTCATTGAAACAATTTTTAAATATGCTTGGTGGGATTTGTATAATATATGATATCGAATTTAAGGAAGGTTTAGAATCAGGTTGATAAAATAAGGGTTTGCACACTGCCAGATACCCTGATATTGGAAACAACCCACATAACATCAGCTGACAGGCATGAAACCAACCTGTAACCTAACACATCCATTATAACTAAACTGTAAGTTAGAAAGGCTGGATGTGTATCACAGTGTTTGGAGAGTGAAACATGAGCCACTACCCTTATTTACATTGTTGTCTGATGATGTCCGAAAATCATTAAGGTATTATAAATACATGAATTCATTTAAATACCATGAGTTATTTCCATTTCAATTGAATATAATTATGTATAGTTATATTTTGACTTTAATCAAGAAACAGAAAAAACTAAATGTTAAACGTGAATAACAGTAGGATAATTAGGGAAATGGTCAATGCATTAAATCAAAGGACAAGGCCGTTAATTGTTAAATTTGGATCTGGATCCAGTCGATTCCTGGGTTTAAGTCTGATGGTAGACAGTGTGCACACAGGCGTGAAGTAGCCAACCAGCATTGGCCAAATTCAGAGAACTGAAATGTACTTTTAGGTTAAAGAGTTCCCAGTAATCAGCAAACACATGTGGTATCCAGCGTCTTGGCCCAGGTTGTGAATTCAATTATACCAACAAATGACTCTGCATAGAATGACTGCTTCATCCCTTTCTTAAATATTGAATCAAAAAGGAACTTTCGGTGAAGCTGTGGTGGTCTCACTGGTCCAAATACAGGACAGTATATAAAACGGACATATATGACAAAACTGAAAATAAAAGATTGGATACTTAAACCAAGATGTCTTAGAACAAGTTTGCCGAAACATGCTCAACTTTAAAGCCTTTAAATTATCATTTTTAAGTGGACAACAGAATGAAAGGTTTGAAATGCTGCTAAGAAATTGTAATAAGTTACATTTTTGAATCTGAGAGTTTAGAAGGTCAACCTAATAATTTGCTGATCTACTGCCCTTCTCACTTGTTATTAGTAATAGTTATCTCACATTTGAGCATGAATGGTTTGAACACAACCAGCCACAGATGTTTTCACAAACAGACTTTATTTAAAAACTGTTTTCTTTAGTGCTTCAAAGTAAATCTATTGTAAACAACCTGCACTTCATCTGAACAATTCGTAATTCAGCAATTTGACCTACTTCTAAGCACAAACACAAATAACAAGACAGAACACAAAATCTCAATGAAGTCCATCAGGACATGTCTCACATGTCCTGCTTCACAGTGCTTTCTTTTCCCCGTGCCCCTCATTATGGTCTGGTGCTCGGCCTGCGGAAGAGGAGGAGGTTGGGCCCCTCTTCAGTGGCTTTGATGATTCTCCAGGCATCGTGGTGCATAAGGCCTTCCAGAGAGCAGCCGTTGATGGACACCACTTCATCTCCGACCTGGATCAGTCCGGACAGCTCTGCAGCGCCCCCTGGTGGAGAGGAAAGCAAATCAAGGTAAAGATAGAGCGTCTGAGTCAGCTCGCTAAAGAAATAAATTAGCATGTTATATTCCGGTTCCCTCGTCTCAAAATTTTTATATTTATGTTAGTTGTGTACAGCTGAGAGTCTCAGTGGTAATGAATCCCCTAAAATAATTAACAAATCATTTTACCAGTACCACACCATGACCCTGTTGTATAATATATTCACACAGATCATGTTTTCATTAATAGGACTACAGGCATGCTACAGTCCACTGTGAACAGGAACACACCACTCTAAACACTTCAATAGTTTCAAGATTAATGATTAGCTTCAAGGTGAAACACTTCAGGCCAAAACATGTTTTTTCATGCACTGCTTAGTTTGGAGCGTTGGGGCTATTATGGTTCCATAACATGTCTTCTTTCAGACTAGTACTAAGAAAACTTCAAAAATACACATTAACGCTTGTATTTAACTCATTTTGTGTCAATTTGTCCACAATTCACTAAAAGTGAATGCCTTATTTCCATATTTAAACATTTCAGAACACTTCTAACAACAATTATAGTTTTAAGGTCAGTAATGGTCTGGGGAAGTTTCCTGGTGATATATATTAGTTACAATTTTTACCCTATTCACCTGTAGTCTGTAGAACATTTTCACAATCCATATCTTTAAAGGCATTTTCTCCAAGAGAGTTTTGACGACTCTCTCAGCAGAAATCCCTATATCACTTACACAGCAAACTGTCCTGTTTCATCCCTATCTTTATTCTGAAGCTTGTTACTTAAAACATGGATACAAGGAACACCTTTTTAAGGCTATTCTATGGTGTATGTACTGATACAAAGAGACATCTGAATCTCCCCACTAACAGCCCTTGACTCCTATAGAGTGGCGAAGCCACGCCCATCTACTTCCGCCTCATGGGACATTATTTCTGAAATTTTTTTTATTGAAGTCAATGGAGAGAGAAAACGTATCTTTCGATCCCGTTTGTATTGTGGCATGAATTACACATATGATGTTTGTCAATCTTAAAATATCATTTCCATGTCAAAAAAGTCACAGTTTGTCTTAAAACTGTTGAAATATAAGACTATGAAAAATATGCAACTAGAAAGACTACAAATCCCAGAGTCGCGTACATTAACGTTACACATTACACTCGTGTTACTCACTGAAACCTTGTATAGCCGGTCCCGCATGCTGGCTCTTACGGAACCGACTAACTCCCCTTGTGTGTATGTACAGTTCTCAACATGCCCAGACTTGTAGTGATTTTCACCTCTTTTAATACTTTTCACCTCATTCTGAAAGAAAGAAGTAAAATGTGCTAACGTGACGGCCATCTTGGTGTTGGTGACGTATGCAAGACCAGAGTTGTAGTTCTTTGAGCGCTTCACACAAAAAATGTGTTACTTCACAGTTTTACGTCACATTTTTTTTTTTTGACTTGCAAAATTATCTTTTAAATTGACAAACACCATATGTGTAATTCGTGGCACAATTCAAACAGAATCAAAAGATAATCTTTCTCTCTCCATTGACTTCAATACATGATTTTTCCGAAATAAGGTCCGATGGAGGTCCCCCGGAAGGGAGGGACTTCGCCACTCTATACAGTATGTCAACAAAAAAACACACATTTTGACCCTGGCTTTATGCAAATGTATGTACTGAAAATGTATACAGATTAGCTTAGATACAATAAGAAAAGGCCTCTGAGCCCTTATGGTGGGGAGGTGTCATGTTGATATCTCTAAGTTAAAGCTTTTGATTCATTACTGTGTCTGAGATTCGGAGACTTGTAGTAAAAAAGTTCACCTTTAAAGACGCGTTTGACCAGCAGAGGCCTGTCTCCCTGACTGGAGGACTTCCCCCCCTCCAGACTGAAGCCCAGGCCAGCGGAGGTCTTGTGAAGCTCCACCGTTAAAGCCCCGCCTGGACCCACATCCACCACTGAGGAGTGTTCAACAAGCACATTAGAAAAGACAAACATAAACAGTTGATTAGAAGTTCCTTGCTTTCCACTTGATGACAGCTGACATGGAAACAGTGGCAGACGCCTTGTTGTTGAGGGGTATCAAATACTTTCCCTTATTATAGCCAGGTTTGGGGAGTAACAGATTACATGTAAAGAGATGACGTAATCAGGATACAAACAAAAAGGTATCTGTATTTGATACATACATACTGAATGAATTTTCTTTTTGGCTTATATTTAGGTTACTTTCATTCTTCTTTATTTTAAAGTACATTTATACTTCTAATTAATGTATTAAGCTTAAACAGCATTTGTATACTATTACTGTTACTACAGTTTTGATATGAAATATCTTGGTTTCTTCTTTTCTAGGGTTACATTGTTGTTACATACAAAAACATCTTATTCTTATTTATGTTCTCTTTTTTTATTGCATTGCACTAGATTTTGAGCTAATCCAAAAGTAATAAGTAAGTAATCAGGTTATATGACTTTTATATTGTGATACTCAGATTAGGTTACCCACTACATCTTTTGACATGCAACCAGTTATTTTAACGGACTACATTTTGAAAGTAAACCTGACTACTGTGAATTCCATTGAAATAACAATGTACAGAGATCCCGCCTTGTTGGCCATGCTTGACTGCAGGAATCAAACCCCCAAGCCTCTAATGGTACACACTGACTTAGCAATAATATTGAGTTGAACCTAATATCTCTTATTTAAACGTAATATTATTGCTTTCAACTAACCTAATACAGTTATGTGGACTCTGTTAATTTTAATTAAAGTCACATTTCAGTTTTTTCAGGATTGGATGAAGCCCTACCTGCTCCGGCCCCCCCGCTCCTGTTTCTGGTGGGCTGCTCCGGGGTGTCAGAGCTCAGCTCACCGTCCTCATCTCTCCAAATGACCACTAAGGCTTGCATGGACAGTCTGGCTTGATGAAGGCAGGACACAGTCTCTCCGTGGGTCTTACCCCCCAGACTAATGCCATTAATGGATAAAATGCTGTCCCCTCTCTGGATGGTGCCTTCGAGGCTCGCTGTGCCTTTAGTGAAGACCCGATGAACCTGCACACAAAAGGTAAGTGTTATATAATCCCAGCTCCATCCCGAGATTCACCTTGTTTACACTTCCTAATTATCTAACACCTGAGCCCTTTTTGTTAATCTGATCAACCATTCAACAGCCTCATGCCTGAATAAGCCCCGCGGTACCTTTTACACACAAGTCAGGACGAAACACTTATCTGAATGAAGTTCAACACGCACAGAAGAGACGCTGTTTTTAATGAAGCACCCCAATCATTATCTCTTATGCAAAAAATAAACCATGAAACTCCAAAAGAAAACAACATTGTACAACGACAGCAATAACCAGATCTGCACATCCTCTCTTTATCTTCAGTGTTCATTCATGCCAACTGTGATGAATGAATATCCAGCACAAGTCTTTACAACAGCATGAGAGCAAATACACAGTCACAACTTAACATCCTGTCCAGACATTCTTCAACATGTTTGAAACAGGCAGCAGGTTTCCCTCTCAGGGAAGAACTTCCCAGCATCTCTCAGAGAAAACTTCCCCAGAACAAATAATGGCGGTGGTGAAAAATACCTTCAACTGATTTATTGAAGTATTCAGCTTGATTAAGCCATCAATGTTACTTATTTCATATCAGGAAAGAGCTTCAGATTTTTGTAATCCCTGGATAGGAAGAAAATCATCAAAAAAGGAAATTGGACGACACTTTTTTTTACTCGGGTCCCAGGAGGATATATACTATTTTATAATTTAATATTGTTATTACTGGCTGCTACCTTTTTGCACTAATTAAAACTTTAACCACACTGTTCTATAATAGGACCGAGCAATATATACTTTTTACTACTGTTAAACTTATTACTGGCTGCTACTTCATAACCTTTAAATGTTAGGTTTTTTATAACGCTGCTACTTACTTTAAGTACCTTGGAAGTGTCCTTATTTAATAGTGTGTGCTTGACTCTTTTTTTATTTTGTCTCAATCTGCACTGTCCCCTTTGCAGTAATCAACCCCCCCGCTTTGGGGGGAATACTTGACTTCTGTTTTCTGAAGAGCTGCTACTGTCATTTGTTCACTACCTAAGAGGATCTAAACAAACAAATGTCATAAAAGAGAGACCGGAGCACAGGCACCGCTGACAGAAGAGAAAACACTAAAGTGCAAATACAGCTTGTGCATTTAGTTTCTGTACACAAATCTTGCACTGTAGTGGCATGGACTTTGACCTGCACCTCCACACATGGTAAAACAGTAGGCCTACACTCCAAAGCCAGTATGTATTAGTATTCATTTTTTTTTAGCCCCTCGTGGTGAATCTGCACTGTTCTGGTTTCTCATTCTCCCTCTGTTGCGGCTTTACCTCCTACTAAACTTCTTTGTTGATTAAGGATCATTAACACAAAATAAAAGTCAAACTAATACAGCATATTAATATTGGATCATTAGCTTAAAAGTAGTGCAAAATGGAAGTGTTAAAAGGCAATAACTTATAATTACAATATTGATTATATGGTTGCTCAATGGCCCCATTCTGGCAGAATGAGTACTCTTATACCAACATAAAGTGATCTGAGTACTTCTTCCATCTCTGGTAATGATACCGGATTAGATGTTGAACAGTGCGCTTTCCTCCTCACTGTTACTCACTGTAATGGCCTTTCTGCTCCAGCGTCCACTCCACCAGCGATTTTCACTGAAACCCCAGCCCCGGGCCTCTCCCTCCTTACTCAGGACCCACCAGGTGGGTGTATTCATGGGACCTGGCGAGGGCCAATTCACGATGGTTGAAGGCAGGACTTAAACTATGTGGACCTGGCACGAGTGTTACTGCATTGTGGAACCGGACAGTGGTGGTAAAGAACCTAAGTAACTGTTACTTAAATACATTTTTGAGGGTACGCTGTACTTTCTGGAGTATTTCAGTTTTTTGCCTACTTTGTACTCTCTACCCCACTAGTAAGTCAAAGGGTAAGTGTGTACTTTTCCTCCCACTACATGTAATCTAATACCTTTAGTTACTTTACAGATGTGGATGAATGATTGTTGAAAATTTATCAAGTGTTAAATCGACTGTAGTTCACCCTGCAGTAAATCCCCAAGCTACCCTGCGAGTATACAAAGTCATTCAAACTACGCGCACCTTATTCAGCTTGAGAACACCTTTCATGATCAATCCATTAAAACATAATCAATATATATTATTTCTGAAACATTTTGCATTGACTACTGTTTTACTTTGGTTACTCTAGTGTTCTGAGATGGCAAAATGCTTTTGTACTGTTTACTTGATAACCATTTTGAATGCCGAACAGGATGTGTGGTTTGCAGTCAGCCCGCCGCGCGGCGTCCCACCCAGTGTTACCTTGGGCGAGAGCCCTCAGGCCTCCTGCCAGCAGGGCCCACCGGTATGATTCTGAGCGGAGGGGCAGGCCAGCAGGCTCTGCAGATTGACACCGACGCTCAGGAGCGAGGACGGCTCCTTTTAAACTGCACACCAACCAATATTCATATTTAAACAACACTTGCCTCTGACTTCAAAACCATGAATTTTAGAAGATTTAGTAGTTCCAGGGTCCGCCAAACTAGATAAGAGACGAGCCGTTCAGCTCCTCTCGCTGGAACCAACTTCCTTGTTTTATTGGCAGGTTTAATAAACAGGAACCAAATACATATTTTACAACTGTCTCTCTGGTTTGCTAATCTGTAAAGCCCACTGAGGGACGAGATGTTGTTTTGTTGGACATTGCTGCTCTAAATAAACAAAACTTTGATTTTGATTGGGTAGAAAGTCCATGAAAGTAAAAGGGGTAGTTCTTAGGGTTTTTCTTTGTCTCCATCCTCACCAAGACGCCCCGAAACCTACTTGGAGTACAAGCGTAGTAACAATCACATTTCTGCTTTCGCATTTCTTTTATTTTCTTAAATGCCCACTGGCCGTTACCACTGTGATTTCTTCCTGCCTAGGCATTTTAACTAAAATAACGACTTTTATGCTAAGAGCCCTAGATTATAAAAAAAACAAAATGTTCCCTTATGCTTGGTCCAATTCTCTTCCATTAATATCAGTAAAGTTCATCTTGAGTACCATATTAAAAATAAGCTCAACAAACTCGAGAAAATAAAACAGTTGGATGTACATGTAACCTTATATTTTATACCCGGTATGCTGTTGTATATATAGTATTTATTCATGTACGCACCTTTGTTTCGACTCTGATGTTTTTTTAAATGTGCTGTGGAAATAAGCTGGATTGGGATTTAACAGAGAAGAAAGAAGTTTTTTTCTTCAAAATGCTATTGAATATGACAACTTTTCTCTAAAAATGTAAACTTTCGATTGATATGACGATCACTATTGCCAAAACCACCATATTATAATACATAATAATATATCATTCTCCAGATTCTTCCTCTCTAGCATTAAAGCGGTCTCCTATCATGCTATTTTTAGCATTAATATTTATGGTCTCCATTATAATAAAACTTATTAAAACTTTCCATGATGTTTTTCGCTCAAAAATTACCAAACTGATCATGGCATTTTAGATTCCCCCTTCATATCCCTCTTCCGCCCTGTTATTGCGCATTCCACCTACAGTCGCGCAGCGCGGGTTTAAGCGTGCGTGGACGGCCCGTTTTTTGGGTTGCGTTTCCAACTTAGGCGTAGTACCGGCCTAGCGGAGGGGGCGTGGGCAAAACCTTTGGCTCGGGGGCCACTATCAGTTTTTAAATTTACTACTGGGCAGAGTCGAGTAGCACATCGGTGAAAAATATTTACTGTCCACCTCATTAAACACTTGAACTTTCAGTTCGACTTTTATTTCTGTGTTCCAACTCCATTTACAGATGCAGTTCCAACAACAGGTTTGAATAGGTTCAAAGGTGGAATATGCGGTCATCGGTCATGACGTAACAAGTTAGTGCGCTTCTTCATGACCCACACAGCGTTTGTACGTCGCAAATTTTTCTCCGCAACACCGGCTCACAACACATCAATAGAGGACTGCGTCGGGTAGTTTTTAATTATACGAAGCCAGATTAAATATAAATTAAACTATTTCTCCAACCTTGTACCTTTCTCCCGAGAGTGCCCTCGGTGCATTGTTATTAAATGGTTCAGCGGCATCACCGCCCGCTGCAGTGCTGCTCGTACACCGGAGTTTAGTCTACTCAACTGTTAACTCGTTGGCAGGCGGAGCTGTAAAGCTGGGCGACCGTTGAGGCGCATCTTAAACTGCTGGCTAAAATAAACGTAAATACCTAGGATTGTTTTCAACCCGCCGGTTGGTTAATGATGTTCGTTACGCCATCAGAATGCACCCCAAAACTTCAAGGCCGCCGGTGTTAGTTATGCTAAAACAATGTCGGACACCGTAATCTTCTCTCGGCCCTCCCCAATCTTGATTCAATGAGACATGTATAGCCGCATTGTCATCATTCAGCGCTGGTTGTCTTTGTGGTGCCCAGCAAACAAAGTGGCTTCGTAAATTAATTGGACAGCCTTCTGGGGAAACCTGGGATCTGATAAGAGAGACGGCATTCTCCTTAATTTGGAAGGTGCAAATCTCATTGTCGGCAAACATTTCAGGCTTTGTGGACTTAATCCATTACAACTGGAAGTGAGACCAGGAGGGGCAGAGTCGCACTTCTTACACGCTTTCTCTGCGCTCTTCCTAGGCAGTCATCCATAGGAAATCCCGAACCCAAATAAACATACCCAATATTAACGGTGGTGTGTCTGCCCAAGGAAAATTTACTGTTTACTACAGTGCAACACAAACAAGGAAGATAACATGTGTGGTCTCTCTAAACATAAGATCTCGTAGCATCCTAAGCAATACTGGGTAAAATGATTTAAATATCAGGATTATAATATTGATAATATGCTGTCTCACTGAAACTTGGTTGAGACATGAAGAATATGTCAGCCTAAATGAGGGCCACTCCACCCAGCCATATCAATACTCATTACTTGTCCGAGGCAATGGGCCGAGAGGTGGAGTTGCAGCATCTTTGGACTTCAAGTTTACTTATCAATACTAAACAAAAATTAAATTATACTAATTTGAAAGCCTCGTTTTTAGTCTTACGCAATCCGACTGGAAAACTTTGCAGCCCAAATCTGTTATTTTTAGAGTGTAACGTGCCACCAGGCCCTTATCAGAATTCTTACTACAGAGATTCTCTTAGTTTTATCAAGCTTCTGGTACTTTAAAAAGATAAGAGTAATTGTAACGAACGAGACGCCGTTACTAGACTCTCGTGAACATGTTTATATAATTTATTGATGTAGTATTATTTGGTGTATAAGCGTCACCCCATCTTGTCTGTTGCTTGCGGTCGTCTCTGTGTTCCCTCCTACTGATTACCAGATGGTTCACCGCTGGTGGCCTTGTGTCTCCTCCCCCTCACCTGTGTTAATTGCTCCACAACAACCCCTCACCTGTGAGTCTAATTGCTCCCCCCTCACCTGTGTCTTGTTGTGGATTGGTGTGTGGTATTTAGGCTCTGTTGTTCCCTGTCCTGTGAGAGTGGTGGCCTGTGTGTGAGTCCTGGTGGCTGCAGGCTGGCTCACGGTGAAACAGCAGCATGCAGCAGCCAGCAGCAGCAGCGCAGCGAGCAGCCAGGCAGCAGCCAGGATTTGAGGCTGCTGGTGTAATATGTTCATGTTTTAATAAAGCCCACGTCGGGTTATATTTTTTGGAACGTTCTGTCCTCTCCTAGTGATGGCAAACATGAAGCTTTGAAATGAATGCGCTCGAACCACTTGGACAATTGTGTCTGGAAATAGGTTCATTTCTCGAAGCTTCAGTTACAGCGACCTCTCTGGCGAAGGCAAGGCAGCAGTGGTTTAACGTATCTTTGCCTTGAAAAAATATTCGACGAACGCAGCCCACCACACACTAGAAGGAATATCATGTTCTATTTGCAATTAAAAGACTGATTAATTGTGCTGTATTGGGTTATTGAGAGAGGAGCTAGAGAGTGCTAAGACATTTTTTTGGGTGGGGAGGCCTTTTTATCGATTCGATTAAAGTATTAAAGAGAAGTTGAAAAGCAAGATTAGAGTTAAGGCTTTGAACCAGCTGCCCGGAGACATCACGCACCTGGCGCCGGCTCTACCAGCTGATTCATTCCTTAGACCATTGTAGTGTTTTATGATTACTCATTTTCTTTTTGTGAAAGTGTTTCGCACGAGCCAGAGCGAACCTTATATTTCTTCCTGGCTTGCTCTAATAATGACCAATCAAATGCAAGCTGCCACGACAAGCAACAATTCAACAGCAACAACGCGAAGAACTAACGAGAGCAAGCGGCGCGGGGAGCACATGCTTAGAGCGGCGTGGCGAAAGAAGTGTTGAAGCGGGTCAAATTGAAACTGTTTCAACTTGTCACCTGTCAGAATCGAGAAACGGGAGGCAGTGCATGATCGCTGTGATTGGACCGCAACCAGTCAAGTGATTCATTCAGCGAATGAAGTATGATTGCTGTTTTTCGCGTACATGTCACGTGATTTGAGCTAAACAAGTTCGATACCACTGTGGAGACAATTGTGTTCGGAAATAGGTATAATATATATATGTATATTATAACTATAAATAAATATAATTGTGTAGTATAGATACTATAAATAAATATAAATATGGGTATATAATATATTTATAAACAAGCAATCTGATTGGTGTTCTTAAGCCGTGATATACTGACCCATATCGCACGGGTAGAATGTAAGCATTACGTTTTCCACACAAGTCGTATC